ATCGGTCGGCAGACTATCCGCCTATCATACCGACATTCTATTAAGTGCTGTGGCATTTACATACGCACACCTAACGTAGTGCATTGCCATAGTGTTAAAAAAAGCATCAGCGTGTTTCATTTAAATGTTCATTTTTGCTGATAGCTAAAAAACAATTGGTTACTCTTAAATTAATCCAATCTTTACGAAGAAAAAGAAGAAGAAATCGGCTTCGCGATTTGTGTAGAGAGACGAAAAATTACTGCAGTTCGAAGCTCTAAAAATGCTTCTTATATATTGCAAAAATTAAATTACTGTCAAGAGCTTGAAGTTGCAGAAAAATACTAATGAGAGTTTATTCATTTATCTTTAACGGCGGTATGATAACTCGCATAGAGTAGCAATAATTTACAATATATAAATGTCCTAGAAAGAAAAAAGAGCAAAAAATTAAAAAAAAAGCTATTTACTGCGGATCAAGCAGGTTTCTTATAGTAAATCGCATTAAAGAATGACATCCAGACAATTTGTGAATAGGATCGCACACACTCGATTGATGAAAATTGACTAAGAATCAGATTTCTCAACTTAGTTTGTAATATGAAGTGAAATTTTAAGGTTGTCATAGGATTTAACCAAAAAACATTAGTCTTGAAATTGTTTGACATAACATGAGCTTTTTAATGACAAGACAATATTAAAGCGACTGTTAATAAGGCAACCTGACTACTTATATTTTAGAATCGGGTTCTATTTCTATTATTCTATACTAAAACAAAAACTGCACAATTTGGCGGAAGTGCTTATTTAAAACATATCCTGACATTAATCTGCGACAGAATATATTGATCAATTATTTACATGCGTGATTACCAGCGCATTATATTTATCACTTGCAATGGTATACGCAGTAGGTCTATGCATGTTTCAAGATTTGTTTTAATCTCTACGAAAGAATTATTCGGGTCACTGTCTTCACACAATCCGTCCAATATTAAAGAAATCAAAATATCGAAAATAGTTTAAGTTCATATTTCTTCAAAAGCAGCATATGAAAAGTTTACATATTTTCCATCTTAGATATAATGAGTTTCAGTAGGCAAAAACGAGGAAGGTAGAATTTAAATTATTTTTTTAATATCTTCTTTTTGTTAAACATGAGTAAGAGCACATTAGTGAATTTTTTTGATTCTTGGTAATATCAAATATGTTAGCAGCTAGGTTACACACTAGAAAAATCATACTTTTTCATTACTAAGCTTTTTGCTAATAAAAAGTTTTTTTTTGAATAAAAAAAATAAAAATGTTTTTTTTTATTTGTTTCCCAAAACAATAAACTGTAAACGTTTGCATATCTATACGCATTTTTAATCTAGGTGAATTCACACTTATTCTTTGCATTTGAAATGACTATTTAAGTATACTCTTTGTCGTATCCTTTTAACAGTACAATCTGCTTCCTGTATTTATATGCACAACTAGGTGCCGCAGCGGATTATTCGAAAAGGTTAGTAAAGTCTGGTTTGTGGGTATGAGTCACACGGCCTCTTCGCTTTTACTTCGGAAACAGTTAGCAGGTAGTCTATTAGTTTTTAAGCTCGTAGTTTCCGTCAAAAACATGTAAGTAGATATATCTTGCTTTGCAGAATTAAACAAAAGTGGACCTGTGGGTTTTTCTGCTGGTCTCTTTGATGACGACGACATATTTAAGTGGCTCGTTCTCATTATTGGACCTTCGGACACACCGTAGTAAGTGGTTGTGCATTGGTGTGAATTTTTCAAATAGCGACGGAGGGTGGTTTAAAGCCGTCCTAGAATTCCCTCATGATTACCCAAATCATCCTCCGAAAATGCAATTTTTGACCGAAATGTGGCATCCCAATATCTCTCTATCGGGGAACGTATGTATATCCATTCTTCATGAACCTGGTGAAGATCGCTTTGGCTATGAGTTACCAGAAGAACGCTGGCTCCCGGTGCACACTGTTGAAACAATTGTTGTGTCTGTCATATCTATGCTTGCGGAGCCAAATCCGGATAGCCCGGCCAACGTAGATGCAGCCGTAAGTGTGATTTTTTGGTGAATATTTTTCAGAAAATGTTTAGAGATGATTACGAGGAGTTTAAACGGAGAGTTAAAGAAACCGTGCGGAAGAGCCTGGAGTCCCAGAGTGAATAACTTCAGAACTTTTTAATTGAGTCCAAACTACCTGTATTGATTCGGGATGTACTTTCTTCTTTGTGCACCCTCTCAGAAAATGGTTTCTGTTGTTTATTTTAATACTCTTCCTGGTAGCTCGCTATTATCATCCCGTACAATATAAAATGGCGAGGTAATCGGGAAAGTATTGGTGAACACTTGACCTGTCGACTTTTTTTTCTTGTGCACCGGTTCTCGTCATGGTAATAAGCCCTTTTAAATTACCTTTAAGTCGGGGATATAACAAAGTGGGATCTACTCCTTACTCTGTACTTTATTTTAATTCCCATGTGCTGGGGCTTCCTCAATGGCTCATCCAGTACGCAGTGCTATTTAGTAATTTCGCTATTCAGTTCTCCTAAGTCTGTGACGCGAAGTATTTGAGAGACGTGGGAATCATGGCCTCACGCACAATCTTGTGTGAAGGTCACTCATGGTTTTATTGAATTTCTCTTCACCAATTTCGACGATGTGGCGACCAATGAATTGCCGCACGCGTAGGTGCCTCCGGATGTGCGAACAATATTACAAATACACCTAACGTGTAAGAACGTTTGTTCCGGTTAGTCAATGCGTTTAGTTTGAGTTTCATCCGCCAGATAGGTCGCTATTCGCGTATAATTATTTGTAGCCGTTTATTAGTCAACTGTTGCGTTTTTTAGGTAAAATGGGTATACAAAAAGTGCAGGTGCTTTATTATCAAATAAAAAAACGTCAGAGGGGTTTGTACATTGATCAGTCATATTTTTACACAAGGAGAATGAAAGCGTTGTCAAGGGGACTGGCCGGTCAGCTCAGCCTAAAAGCGACAATAAATATTAGTTAGATGTGTTCGGGGTGCAGTGCCGTGACGGAGCAAGGGGATTCGCTGTTGAAAATTGACCGCCGCGTTTATATCTGGATAACAATAACACCTGCAGAATCACAAAACACTGCTGCATGTCTCCCTTTTGCACTGAGGATAAACAGACAAGATTCAAAGCCAAGCAAGGGATACAAAATTATGCCAAATCTACTTTATGCGTACCACACCGGTCCTAGTACCAAATAGACCATAAACAAATAAAGCATAGATTTAAAGGCGGGGCATAATGAGACTAAGGTGCTTGTACCGACTTATTTCGTAATTATTTTTGACGTTCAATTCTCCGTCAGACGATAGGTTTCCATGTGAACACGGCATTGAGGTTACAAAAGCGCGCCCAGTGGTGTGTCCAGGACGTTTGCAGCCCTGAGTAAACATTCAAGACCGTTACTACACACCAGAGGCTATGATTCCTTTTAGATGTTAATATTTTGCGGGAAGCGTTTTACTGCGGCTCGAGTTCGAAACGTGCAAACATTTAAATAGACGAAGCGCTAGCAACGATGTATAAGCAATCAGGTGGTCAAAGTTAGTGGGGTAATCGCGGATTACGCCTAAGCACTTGGGTAGACAAAAAATACAAATGCGGCCTCATGACAATAAAGGCGAAAAGGAATATTTCAACTTACCCTTGAGGTTGTGAGTCCAGGTTTTTCGCTTTTAAAGCTGGGTGAAGATGAGTCTGTCAAAGGCAAGTAAAGTGAAATAGAAGGCACAGGAACTGGTCACATCATTTTGACCATAAAAACGTGGTTATAGACACATGCAATTATGTAAAACGGTTTGCAGCGGAAAGATTCTCTACCATCACATGCGGATGGCAGCTGTAACCGAATACTACGATAAATTAAGTTAAACTATTGAATCATAACAGGAATGTGGGTAATCACAATTTTTTGGCTCAGAATTAGTCTCCAATAGAAAAAGAGGTTTTTGACCTCGTGAAAAAGCAAAAAAAACCAGGACCGCAAATAGCCAAAAAAATTACCAATAGGAAAGTGATACAGTTTTTGTGAATGTTAAGAACATTACAAGTTTTCAAAATCCATTGGGAAACTGTGGAAATCCCTAACGGAATCGCGTGTATCGACACATAATGTCTTGCTACATAATACTTATTTCAACCGACAAACAGTTTAAAATCAGGTAATGGAGGTTTTGTTCAATATTAGAATCGTCGCTGTTTTTTGATTCGCCAGCATTTATAAAATCAGGTGAATACCAGTTCACATAATTTACTATTTTAAAAAAATACGTACTTTATAATCCAGTAATTACACGCAAGAGCTCAGTAAAATTTAAAGTTACGCCAACTTTTACACACTCCTTTCAGGACTTTATTTACAACTTTTTATTAAAAAGTGCAGTTATGTCACAGCACAACTGACCATTGGCATGTTAAACACGAAGAACTCATGCATGTAGTCACATCTGCAAAAACGTACAAATAAGCTCCTAGGTCTCAACAACTCAGCTATAATGAGTGTTAGTGCATTAATTCTAATCAGTTGAAATCGCTTCTCATGAACGTCTGCGCGTTTTTTGAGAATACAAGTAAGTGTGCGACGTGATGAATCATTACCGTTAGGAATAACCGATTTCGCCGTCTTGGCAAATAAATGAAAACTTAGAAATAAATTGTGGAAAATAAAAAAAAACTTAGTAATAACGAAAAAGCAAATAAAAAGTCTAGAGGAGTGTCGTATTTCCAAGGCATTTCTACTTCTTCACCGGAATTGTCTGGGTTGCGTATCCAAATTGGTTTTTTGAGATTCATTTGGAACTTGATGTGTGAGGTAGAATGGAATAAAATAAAAGACGAAACACCACTTTTAAAGTGTCGAGGAAAGCTTCTAAAGTAAGCTTGGGTCATAAAATTGCGAAAAAGACTAGCTACACTACACAAGAAAGTTATTTGAGGTCACTTTTGACTGACAGCATTCGCAGATTTTCACAAACAATCAGTTTTTGTGACATTTTAAGATCACGGATATTTTTAATAAAAGTATTGACGACAATCGCAGTTAATACTTGAGTTAACGGTTTTTGTTTTTCTGACTATACCAAACTGTAAAAACCATTGTGGCGCCTTCTACAGAAAGGTAGCCACTCAAGATTTGTCGTTTCCTGAATTACCAAATTCAGATGTGCTTTAGATGCAGTCAGTGAAAACAACAAGACGCGTGGATTCGCGCGTAACCACCCAAAATAAAATTTTTCACTATGTGAACTTCTTCCCTATTATGAGAGTAGCCTTACTTTAGAAGGGCATTATGCTGAATACACGCGAATAAACGAGGTATTAAACAAGTACTAAAGCCTTGCTTATTTAAAGAACAAATTAGGAAGTATGGAATTCGCCTAAGCCTGTATTGGGTAAGAATTTTTATTGCTGACAATGTGATATTAAAGGAGGCAAGGAACCTAGACAAAACGGCTAACGTGTTCAAAGACATCAAGGCACTACTGAAATGATAGGCACATGCAACTATTAGAGGGTTTTAGTGGATAGAATGGTGAACCTCTGTAGTCTTTTGCGTGTGATCCGTTTTCTCTAAGCCCCATAAAGAAACTCCTAGTTTCAACATTGAAAGGCCGTGGTTGCCGTAAGATAAACCTTTGGTGGCTCAAAATACCTTAAGGTTGGATTAAGATGGTGTGAGGCACCCTCAGTTAGTATACATGTTCTCGTTTCTTGATTGGGTTTTATTGGCTCTAAAGCAACGACAGAGGTAAAGTCACCGAATATAGGTAACCTTTTCAAAAACTGAGTTTTCAGTGAGGTGTAAATGCACTTTTATGGCCTTTGAAGCTGCCTCCTGGATTTGTGAAATCAGACGAATCGCCAAAGCTACTGAAGAAATTAACCAGTACGTAGTTACGCTAAAATATTGTGTTTTGGTGTGGTATTAAGCAGAAAAAGCCGTTAAAAGTGACTCGTCGTGAAGGCACGTCCAATTGCCCCGAAGACGGCAGATAAGTGAGGCATTTCATAAACCACTACAACTTGTTCTCGCGTGATGTTACAGAGTTGCCAAATACGGGGAGGGATTTTGTGTCGAGCTTTTACGTGGAGGGCAACGAACGGCGACATGATCTACGACCTGATGGAGATCATTGCGACAGGGTACTGGTGCGAGTGATAAACGTTCGCCATTTTATCCTAAAAATGTTTTTCATTTATCGGGACATCAAATAAGGAAACTGAGGAATTATTATTCCATGCGGACACTACATACTTAGCAAATGTTTTATTACAAATTAAACAATCCAATGGTATATTATTTAAAATAAAGAGGAAAGGCGTAATGAACATACGCTGCGTGTGTTCCTGTGTAACATGGCGGTTGCGTTCACTGGCGTCAAGGAAACACCGACTGCAGTGGGAACAGGCAAAAATCTTTGATGCTACAACAAAATAGGTCGCACTTTCCTATTAATGGTGGCATTGGACATCACCACTACAAACCTACACTACCAATGAGATTTAAAATAAATCAGCCTCATACATATGGAGTACAGGTACGAAGTCACGAAAACAAATAGAAATGACACGACACGAATCTTTCAACATATGCCTACAAACTGTGAAATGGTGAGTAGAAATCTAATGACAAAAATTGTTGACTTATCGAATCAAAACTTCTGATGGAGCATGTATTATTATCGGAGTAGAAAGACATTCCGTCAAGTTACAGAGTTTTATTTGGACTATGTACAGAGAATCCCAAAAAAGCACAGACTGTGGTTTCACAGTGAGACGCCTACGATTCTTACGGACGGCACTGAAACAAACAATAACGGAGATACCGAGAATATCAGATGAGTACCACGCAGATATTTAGTAAATTATGGCCAAAATGTAGCCATTAATTAGACAGGCAAATACATTGACAGAAAAACTTCAAGACTTACTATTATGTGAAGCGAGGTTATGGCCCATTAGAGCAAATTTTGACGGAAAACTGATATCACATTTTGAGCAGATATGATGTGAAGCTAAAAATCCAATGGAAGTTAATAATACCTGCACCATAAACATAAAACAGCAAAGTTAATACAGCAAATAAGGCTGATCCCACCTGAGTGAGCGAGCAGACTTTACTCTGCCATTCATTTACTCACATTTATTTCACTCTAGAAGCACGTTTGGATCAATCAAAAAACGGGACACCATACATCAGAAGTTTTGAGAGGCTTAAATATAAGTGAACCAGTACTACTAGAGACAAAATTCGGAAATTTACCATGGCCCAATGGGTGACTCTTAAGCATTACTATGATTCGAAACTATTGCACAGCAATAACTGGCTTTGGAATGATTATTAATGATAAGGATCCATCGCAAATACTGAAAATGAAGGTTGGGGCGAGATTATAACCTTAGTCGAAGGTCATGCATTTGAATTGAACGTGTAAATGGTGCACCTAATCAACGTACAAACAAACCAGGTACCGCTGTTTATCCGGAATGCAGAACACAACAGTTGAAGATGCACACTCATTGGTGTGAAAGGTCTATCAACTGTCACCTTGACATCTAAGGGGTGTCGAAAAGTTTCAGAAAGAGGGGTATTTGCGATTTTAACTCACGCAGTCAAATGGTCAACACGAAAATAAATCAAAATAATTTATTGGTAGTAAATAATAACGGACGAATTATAAAGCTCTTTCGCTACACAGCACATGTCTTAGTAATTTACGGCAACAACATAAAAGTTAAGAAAAATCAATAGGAAAATTCTTCACCTGCATGAACATTTTCATGATGTCGCTTCATTGCAAACTTGTTTGAGAACGTTTTCGCGCATATTGGACACACTCCGATCTCAACATCTACAATTATGATCAGTGTAAATCAGATTGTTACTAAAAACGCGATGAGTAGCCACAGATAAAAAATTAAAACCCACGCTGATGTACGATCCGCAGATGACGGTCAAGACTCTGCTTTCCGCTAAAATGTTTGCAGCAAAATGGACAGCTCGTGGGATTGTCACCATCAACAGGACGGAAAGAGAGGGATTCGTGTAGTTCGTCTGGATGCACACGACGCATATGGCGTTGTATTGCAAAAGTAGTAAGGAATTTTCGACCGCAAATTTTGCAAGCACTGGCTTCAGCTTCTAAAGTAAAAATAAAAGTCTTAGTGTTCAAAAGAAAAAAACTGGCACTGTCAAATGCGGTCTTACGTTTGTGCATAATTTTGAAGTGTCGTCGCATCCCATGTCTTGTAGCCATTACCGTACCACAGATCGGACATGGTCCTGCGGTTAACGAGGATTCTAACAATTAAAGAAAACAGTTATTAAAGTTTACATTGAATTTGACAGCAAGTAATTGACATTACCTTTTATGCTTGTTATTTTTGGGTCATTAGGGTCCAAGTATATTGTCTTCGATGACCGTTTAACCATTTGGGCTCAAATTCTAAATTAAATATAAAGGTAAAAAAGTCACCAATTTGACGAGGTCCATTAGAGAGAAAATTAAAAAAAAACAATTTGAAATTGTTCTATGTGAACAATTATACGTTACATCAATGATAAACATCTTCATAATCCTATAATTGTTCACATAATTAAATGAGATTTAAGCAACAGAACCGAATAAATTGTTTGGTTACAGACTGATATTAGATGACTATCATCGAAATAGGTGATATACACTTTGGAGATGAATCACGTAGACACTTAACAAAAAAACCTTCGCATCGCATTTTCATTTTCGCGAAGAAGACTAAATTCAAAATGCCAAAAAAATCTTAGGAGTTGTAGAAAGTATACCCCAATAGCAACGGTTAGAAGACGTTAATACAACAATTCATTAATTTTCTCAACATTCACTCACCAATCCAAGCATCTAAGTCAAAACTGAAAGCTCGGTGGACTCAGCATTTATTCGCAAAAATAATCACGCTAAGCAGACGAAAAGACTCAAGTGGTAAGGCAATTGCGCCTTCTATTACGCTTTAGAAAAGTGAGGGGACTTCAATAACGGTCAGATAGATAAACAAAGATTACCAGAATGAAGCACACATTCGCTATAAGGGTTATAGATAAATTACTCCAATATTTAGTGGAAAGTAAAAAGATTGATTCAATTTCCTTGAGATTTAACTAAGACGGAAAAGCCTCATAACTTCTCCAAAATACGAGAAGAACACAAAAACTATCCATTTAAAGGGTCCAAATTTAAGAGGAATTAAAATATGTTCGGAAGAAAATACCTCAGCTTTTATCACATACCTAAACATAAAATTAAAACAAATTCACAAATTCGAAGCAATGCAAATCCCATTAAATGCAGGAAGCAAGAAATCATATCAAGCAAAAGTTGAAAGCAAGAAATTCTCCAAAGACTAAACACATGACCGACAAACCGGTGACCAATTCCACCTCAACAGCAAAAAAACCAAAATTTTGAAAATCAACTTTATTATCTTGCAACTACTTTTACTGTGAATTTGTCTTAGGGTGCCGAAAACTCTGATATAAGGAAATAAATACACATATTAATAAAAAACTTGCAGCCAGAACATTTAAAAATTCCACATGTTTGGTTGCATGGTAAAACAAGATGTTGCAATTTTGACAAAAAATAATTGTCTTTTTGAAGGCAAGTGTGTGCTGACACCGTGTGCTTGCAGTAATTTGTTTACTAAAGTATGTACACTGGCCTACTCTATTTAGAATGAGGCTGCTAGACGACAAAATGTAATGCTTAAAAAATTAGCATTACCACGATGCTATACATTTTGTGAAATTGCCAATGAGAATATTTTTTTTACTTTCCTGCCCATTCGCGTTCTTCTTTACATTCGACTTGACCCTTCTCATCATTTTGGCTGCCTCCATGGCTAGGTCACGCAGGGATATTTATTCAACTGTCCTTCAGGTATACCAAAACCAATATTCTTATCTAACAGTCATACAACGTAGCAATGCAAACACCAGGTAAATTGGGTATTTTAAATTATCTAACGATAAAAAAGTGTCTAAAAATTGGCGATATGAATAATGAGATGACATGGGAGGAAACAATTGAATAAGTGGTATAATTGCTCATAAAGGTGAGTTGATTCGTCAATTTTACCGGTCACAATCACGGTGTCTCGGATCTGATTTGCTGATTCATAGGCTTGACGAAGCAAAGGAATTCAAAAGAGTATAGACAGTGTCACAATAGACAGCAACGGCAGCAGAGGCAGGCCAGGACGACTAGTATTGCCAAAGTTAAGCGCGCTACAGGTGATGCATTTGAATGATTGCTAAACCTCCTGAAAAGAAACTAGAAGCTCTGTCGGTGTTTAATTTTCTTTAGGCTTAATGGGTTTTGGCAAATTTAGGCACGGAATATTAGTACTTACACCGTAATAATGTGCACAATTACTAAAATATGTAACGCAGGTATGCAAACTCTCCGAAATCCGGGCGTGAATTACGATTTTTTGTAAATCTTTGAGGTTTTCAGACCGCAAAGGAATATTTTGAATAGGTCTCAGCCAGATGTGTAGCAGACGTTTAGTTGAACCCATAGAAATTGGAAGTTGGACTGTAACTCATTCATGTCCTTCTCTGGTTGGCTGCTTATCTTCCTTGAATGCCATTGGAACGCAGAGAGACACAGGATTGGCTGAAGCCAGCGTGGTCCACTATGTCTGCGCCCCAAACCGACGCCAATGTGGAACACCCAGGCCCTAATAGGAAAAAGACTGGTACAACAGAAAAGGCTTTATTAACCGATCAGAAGCCAGAGCCACACATCAGGCGCATTCCATCCGAGTCCACCGCGCTGGCCACGCCGCTAATTATATACTGCTCCTTAATCGTGTCCTTCTCTGGTTGGCTGCTTATCTTCCTCGCATGCCATTGGAACGCAGAGAGACACAGGATTGGCTGAGGCCAGATGGTCCAACATGTCTGCATCCTGATCCGACGCCACACTGCCTCCCCCTTAGGAGTGAAGCTGTCCTCAGCTTCTGGCTTGGCATCTTGCACTGTTGTTGATTTCCAGTGTTGATAAAATATCCAGTTTGACACTCCCCGCACCCCACATCTGGCAGGATAGTGGCCCATGCGATTAGTTGACGAGGGACTTTGCTCTTGTAGACTTGCAGGAAAGACTCATCATCCATTGAAGGTCCTTCGCAGATGCACTCCAGCTGGCTTTCACTGTTTAAGTCGTCGTCGCTGAGTAGCCAATGCCTCTACAGATGCAGAAGTCCTAATCCCGGGCAATGTCTATGGATCCATTTGTTTTGGACATCGGATGACCGCCATGACAAATTCA